CGGGGGAGAGGGGAGAGGGCCCGGGCTGGGAAGAGCGCTGGAGGAGCGGCCGCCCCTCGTTTCGCCTCCTCCCGCCTTGGCGGTGCCTCGCCTAATCGGGAAGACCCCTCATTTCCGGGGAGCTCCAGACAGACGGAGACAGTGTGCGGGGATATTCCGGAGAAAGCCCGTTCAATGATCGCGAATGGGATAGCTGCAGCCACTAGCTGCAATCCGGAGTCAGGCCACTTCCAAATGGACGCGCGCACCCAAGAAAGCTGCACACCCATCCGGCACGCTTGATCCGAGTGTAAACAAGCTGTTGATACCGAAACTCAAGTCCGTTTTCATGGGGGTTTCAAGTCTATCTATACTTCCTCAGAAGTAAGTGCCACTGAATCTAGTAAGGCTTGCTCAGAGGTAAGCGTGCGCAGGGTTGTCTTCGTATCAGACAAAAGGGCTCCGGAAGTCAAATGCGGCACACACAGGCACACCCCAGTGAAACCGGAGTCTCGCATCCTTTTTTACGCCAGTTGTTCAAATTGGGGGGTTTTCGGGGGGCGGGGGTTGTGTAGCCACAGAACTTCTCTCTCAACCTTATAATTGAACTGCAATTACAGCGCACGCCTGGTAAGCAAGTGCAGACATATACTAAGACCAGTCGTCGAAAACAATGAGCCATGCGTATGTAGCTAGAGGCTTTGCAAGTTTACTCAAGAGTAAGTATAGACGTGTTCAAGAGGGACTCATTCATCAGCTTGCGGCATCCGCGTTGAGAATTCCAGCCAGCCCAGAGGAGAGCACCGCGAAGCTCCCCAAAGCGGCGCTCCCGAAACATGGGAGATGCCTGCGCAACCAACAAGCTCCGAGAACATCGATGCAGGCCTGAGCCAATGTTTGGCTGGGCTCTGCGCAGGCGCGCGTATTTCTGGAGGCCGGCCACTGCCAGGGCTTCCTAGCCTTTGTTGTATGTTATTAAGTCTCTTCAGACATTAACAGCCAATGCAAATGGGGAAGTGATACTTAAAAAGGAGAAGTGCCCCTTTAAGGCGCGGTGCAGGTAGCCAGGCAGCGTTAATGGCTTGGGAAAGGTCCCCTAGTTGCATCTCATCGCAGGCCCGCCCAGGTTTCACCCGGGTGCTAAATCTGTGCCTGTACTACAGGGGAGAGGTCTCACGGCAGAAAGCTCCGGCTTTCAAAAATAGCCTCTGGGACACAGAAAACTAGGCCAGAGGGAAACTAGGCCACCTTCGCCCTGAGGTGCTACTTTTCTACGCGAAGGGCACTGCTTCTGTTCTCTTCCTTCCTTTTCTGTGTGTGGGTGTGGGTGTCCTATTCTTCCCAGGTGAACTCCGAGCCCGAAAATATCTAGATATGTGTATTCCCCCCAGTGAAAACTAGGCCGAGGTAGGGAAAAGGGAAAGGCAAACAGGCTGCCTGAAAAACCTTTCCCCCCCCCCCCACGTGCTTGAATGCGGGCTTATCTGGGCTCCCATCGCGGCCAGCCTGGAGGAAAGCGCCAGTTCCTCGATCAGGCCGCCTTCTCCATCTGGCCCGGCCGGCTTTCTGAGGAGAAATGCCGGCCGGGCCTTGGGAAAGGGGTCATTCCATTCTGGGCCGAGTTCTTTCCCAGGCGCTTCCTCCGCTTCGAGAGACGTCAGTGGGAGAGCCGGCGGCTTCCTTCTCGATCCGCTCGCCCCTGGCTTGTCTTCCTCGGGCGGCCCGCGGAAGTGACGGCGCGTCTTCCCGCGATCGCCAGCCGGCCACCACCCGGGCTCCGCCGCCTCCTTTCGCCGCGGACGCACCGCGGCAGGCTCAGTGGTGCGCGGAAGGCGCTTTTCCCAAGAGCCAAAAGTTGGCCATCAGCGCCGCGGCGGGGGGGGGGGGGAAAACCCC